CAATTTGTAGAAGGACTAACTTAGGTTCCCCATCATTTGGCAACTGTTTGACCCAAGAGACACCATCTGGTTATAGGATTAACCAAGAGAGGGTTTGTGTTTATCAAGAGACACTGTGGAGGTGCTCACCCCTACCCATGCATACAACAGATTAGAGGACAGTGGTTTCTTACCTTTCTCCTCACAGGAACTCCTTTGATATTTTATTTTGCTCATGGGCACATGGGTTTGAAAGATTTTTGCCTTTAAGACAGATTTTATTAAGTAACAATTAGCTTCTTCATTTTCATTATTCTATGAAAATCTAATTAGAGTAACAACATTACCACACTGACCTGATAGAATTCCAGCCAAAAGCAAAGCAACTGATGTTTGAGTGAATCCCTGTAGCCCAAGAACACCCTGTATAGTCGTTTGACATTTTAAATTTCTGTAAATAGCTTGTGGGCCCCATTCCTACGATTTGTAGGCCTTAGGAATCCAGAGAACTGCTTGTGTATTAGAAAAAAAAGAGCAAAGAATTTGGAATCCCAAGACGAATGAGATTGAGAAGGGTACTCATCTGCACTGAGTCTCAGGTTCCTTATCTGCAAGGATATCACCTGAAAATAGTACTCATCTTACAGGCCTGTGATAAAGATTATATAAAAACTATTGACATGCTGGAAAGTCTTGAAAAATTTAACTTTCTCAAAGACTGAAATTTCATTGCAGAAATAAACTTTTGAAAAATATTGGTATGATAAATGGATCATTTGTCTCTTTTATATTACATTAAAATCAATTTTAAAAGACATCAAAGAATCAAAGCACTGACTTGTAGGCAATTGTTATTGTGTGTGTGTGTGTGTATATGTGTGTGTATGTGTGCATGTATGTGTGTGTGTTTTGTGTTTGCTTTCCAAGAGGAGAGGAAAACCACTGTGATATTGAGTTTATGCCTGTACAGTGTCAAGAACATCTGGTGAGGTTGGGAAGAGGAGATAAATATATACTCTGAGGATCCAATCAGATAACCTAGAAAGGACTATTTATACTTTTGCACTTAGAATGTGAACAGTGTAGACACTGTTGAGTGTGTTTCCCAGGACAGAATGCTAAAGAACATGGGCTTTAGAGTCAGACACACCTCAACTCAAATTTTACTTCACTGTACTAGCTCCGTGAGTTGGGCAAGTTGCATAGTTTTGTTATGAAAATTAAATTTAAAAAAAAAGTGTAGATATAAGGCAACAATTCGTTTCCTGGTCATAATAAGCACTTGATAAAAGTAAAATATTGTTATGAGTTCTTGTGTTTTAGCTTCAACTTTTTATCCTAGTATTTTAGTTAACAAAAATGATAGCACATGAGTACAGTTCATGTGGCGTCAGTTGTTTAGAAAAGAACACTGGTAGACATGGTGATGCAATCCCTGTTTGTAATGCTTTTGCTATCACACCCTTGAGGTATGCATGAGGCAGATGAGTAAAAAGAAGAAACCCTTTGTTCAAAGATGTTTAGCCAACCACATTTCATGATGGCATTTATTTATCTTGATCTTATAAATACTCAAGGATTGTGGCTACTTTGGAATTTATGCTAGACAGCTAATGGAATTTTTAAGAGATATCTGAGCAAAAGTGAAACTAGGAGCAGGGATACAGAGGAGGGCTTCTTGCTGCACACGACTTATTTACTGCTTAAATGACACAAACAAGCCATTCGGACTCCAGGCCAATGTGAGTTTCTTTGGGTTGCAGATAGTTGGAGCCTTGATACAATGGATGTTGATGGTTCTTCTTGCTTTAAGCCTCTTTGTGCCCAAGTCTCTTGGGTTTAGATGAGTGGATCTTAGCTAAGGTGAGAGGAAATAGTAATTAAAATCTGGAGTTCCCAGAGAAGGGTTAGAATAGGGTCATTTCTTTTTCTGAAGTTAGTTCAGATGTTGGATGTTCATTGGGGCACATAGATTTGAGTCTATGGAATAGAAAGGGGTGGAAATCTAGCCTTAGAATTAACTGGGTTTACTTAGGGAATATCTGGGACTGAGAAGACTCTGGTGATTGCCATCTTTAGAAATGCTCCCATTTTGCTCCCTGCTTGTTTGTCCCTTTACATGCCCTCAATGAAGATCCAGTCCAGTCCAATGCTGGCCTTTTGCTTGTTGTGGCACCCACCTGGCCTCGGGCATGGCACAGTGGTGGGCCAGTGGAGAACCTCTGATGGTGTTAGTCAGCCTTGCTACTTGGATGACCTCCCAATTTATGCTTCTCCATGTCCTCAACTCCATGACTTTAGGGGGGAAGCGCTGGATTCACAACAAGGCAGAGCTGAGTAGAATCCTGGCTCAGACTCTCACTAATTGCATAATTCGGGGCAAACTAATTAACATCTGTATTCTAACTTCCTAACATGTAAAAGCAATAACAATGCCTGTTTTAATCTGGTCAATCTCGAGAATAATCTCCCTCTACCTACTATCAAATATACTTAGAATGGAAAGAAAAGCTGGATATACCCTCAGGGGCTCCCAGTGTGCTTTAGGTCTTGAGCCAGATGCTGCCCAGAAAGGACAGTTCAAACCTGTGTGTCTGCCCCTAAGGCAGCCTACAGGAACGTGGGTAAATCTGGTCAATGCATTTGAGCACCGAGGCCCTTTGCTCTCTTCAAAACCAACTCTGTTGCCTGCATTATCTACAGACATGCTCTGGATACCAACCAGACCCACACTTAACATTTTATAGGACTTAATATCTTCACAGAAATTTATCAGTTTTCCATAATTCTCCACAACATTCTTGGCAGGTAGCCACAGACTTACCTCAAATCCCACATGGGTTTGTGTCTACAATGGCAGCAATTCTTGCATCTAGTTAACTGCCTCAGCCACTAAACATTCCAGCCACAAACATTACCTGAGGGGAGTCACTTCAGTTCCATAAATGGTTGACAAAAAGTGTCAAACATTACCTTGTCCAATACATGGTCCAACTCCTTCCCTAAAGGAAGTTCAGAAAAATAGGGCCTCTGTATCAGCAGGCTTCTAACTAATATTAATAATTATAAGAATCAAACAGCCCTATCAAAAAGTGAGCAAAGGACATGAATAGAAACTTCTCAAAAGAAGACAGACTAATGACTAACAAACATATGAAAAAATGCTCAACATCTCTAACCATCAGGGAAATGCAAATCAAAACTACAATGAGATATCACTTATCTCTAGTGAGAATGGCCTTTATCAAAAAGTCCCAAAACAATAAATGTTGGCGTGGATGCGGAGAGATAGGAACACTCCTACATTGCTGGTGGGACTGTAAACTAGTACAACCTCTGTGGAAAGCAATGTGGAGATACCTCAAAAGGATACAAGTAGATCTACCATTTGATCCAGCAATCTCATTACTGGGCATCTACACAAAAGAACAAAAGACATTGTATAAAACACATTCTTCACTAGAATGTGAAGAATGTTTATAGCAGCACAATTCACAATTGCAAAGATGTGGAAACAACCCAAGTGCCCATCAATCCATGAGTGGATTAATAAAATGTGGTATATGTATACCATGGAATTCTACTCAGCTACAAAAACAGTGATGATCTAGCACCCCTTGTATTATCCTGGATAGAGCTGGAGCCCATTCTACTAAGTGAAGTATCACAAGAATGGAAAAACAAGCACCACATGTACTCACCAGCAAATCGGTATTAACTGATCAACACTTAAGTGCACATATAGTAATGACATTTATTGGGTGTTGGGCAGATGAGAGGGGGGATGAAGGGATAGATATATACACACCTATTGGGTGCGGTGCACACTGTCTGGGAGATAGACATGCTTGAAGCTTTGACTCAGGTGGGGCAAGGGCAATATATGTAACCTAAACATTTGTACCCCCGTAATATGCTGAAATAAAAAAATAATTACAAGAACCAGAAACCACTGCGGAGGCCTGACAGGTGAATATGATGATAGTATGATAATGTTGCTGAAATTAGAGGAGATATATTTGGATCTAAAGAAGAATGGATCATGTTCATTAAAAATAACATATTTCCAGAATATGTAGACTTGAAGGGGAAAAATTCCAAGTGTTTCTTTTGGTGATTACTTCATAAATTTGTCTTACCTCAGGAATCATTTAATCACTTGTTCCATAGTTAGTCTACTTCTTCCCTATAGACCTCCAGTGACAGGCAGAGCTATCTCTAAAGTCATGGCTCTTGTTCCTGAGGTGATATCAGGTATCAGGCTTGTGTATGAATCTTGCTCATATATATTTATCACTGAACTTAGAGGGACCTTGTGGCATTTACTACTCTGGGTAGGATAAAAATTTACTCTGGGCAGAAGAAAATATAGGTGATACCTTCTGAGAAGGGTTCCTTCTATGTTGCCTGTGTCTATTCTATAAAGAGTCTCAGTCAGGAAAAGGCTTTGGTGGTCTTCCGTTCAAGGCAGGAAACAGCCTTGCCTCAGTAAATGATTGACCTGTGTGCCCACAGTGATAAGCTTAGGTAAATAGGCTTGATTCTGCTCCAGTAGTTTTAGGACTTTTAACTCTCTAGGCTCCAAAGCAGAAAATGCACTTAACTCCCTCAAATGACAGGTTGACAGCCCTCTGAATTATACGCACACTGTTCTCTATGGTATATCGTGAAAGTGGAAAAAATTCATACAAGCAAAATTCTGGAATAAGGTCATGTTTGTGGAGCCACTACTAGTGGAAAATTTCAACAAATAACAAATATGTTATAATGACAGATTTTTTAAAAAAACTTTACAAATGTTTGAAATATGTACAGCAACAACAAGAGAATATGGAAGGAAAATATAGCCTGTTTTCCAGAACATGCCGATGGGCAAATGATTGAATTCCCCTCATACACACTCACACCTACCACAGTCGCCTTCAGCAGACCATCCTCAGAGACACTCTGGTTACAAGACTATGCAAGGTGCTTGTTTTGTAATCTTGTGAGAAGGACCCATGACCAGACAGATCACTTACCTTGATAGCTGCTTTTCAGTCTCAACTCTTCCCTCAGCTTTCTTCCTGGCTCAGCAGTGATAGCCCATGGCTGTCCCAACACTTGCTGAAGAGGTTGGGATGTTGGGAAGAAGCATCAACACAGGCTTCTACTTCTCCCCAAGCATGAAAGTGAGGTGTTCCCCTCTGTTTCCTTCCCTGCTCTCTGGGCCCTGCAGATAGTGGTCACGGGCAGTGACTTGCTTGCAGCCAGGTATGTTGACAGACGTGAAGGAGGGAGTCTGCGCTGGTCTCAGCAGCCTGGTCTAGCCAATCATCACACACCAGGGCAGGCTCCTACTCCTGCTCAAATCCAACCAGAGGGCTGGGTGACAAAATCAGACAGCAGGACTGTCGGGGGCTGAAAGCTCAGTCTGATTGCTACTGACTATCCAGGAGAGCGGTTACCTTGTAACTGGATCTGGGAAGTGGACCAGAGACTCTGAGAATAATTTACATCTGGGAGGAAAATTTTACTCCCTTATATTTTAGCAAACTCAGAAGGGAATTTGGAGGTCACTTTATCAAATCTCCCATTTAATAATGGAGTTCTTCTATTATATTCTTGTATGGTGAGAATCATCTGACAGTTCTTTGAATAAATATATCTACCATTCATTGAGAATGCATTATATGCTATGCATTTCATCACAAGTCCTCACAATAACCTTAGGACTTCATCCCTATTTTATGGATGAAGAAACTGAAGCTCAGAGGGGTAACAGTCATGCAATTAGTAAGTGCTGAAGTCAGGATTTGAACCCAGGTCTACTCTAAAGCCAGTGCCAGCATCAGTATCCTTTCTGTGGTAGGTTGAATTAGTCCCCCAGAGAAGTGCACGTCCTAATCTCCAGGACCTGTGAATGTGTTACCTTACGTGGCAAAAAGGACTTTGCAAATGTGATCAAGTTAAGGATCTCGAGATGGGAGAGTATCCTGGACTATCCAGGCAGCACAAGGGGCCTTATAAGAGGCTGGAGTGGAGGAGGAGTGTGCTGACAGAAGCAGAGCCAGAGACTGAAGATGCACTGCTGGCTGTGAAGATGCAGGGAGGGGCCATGGGCCAAGTTGTGCAGGCAGCTTCCAGAAGTGGGAAAGACAAGGAAATGCATGCTCCTCTAAGGCCTCCAGAATGAACACAACCCTGAGGGCCTATCTTAGACCTTCAAGGTAATAAACATAACGTTGTTGTAAGCTATCAAGTCTGTGGTAATTTGTTATATGAGCAATAGAAAACAAACATTCCCTTAGAAATACTTTTTGTTAGTGAACTTGCTATTTCATTTAGCATCCCATTCCACATAGTCATGATCTTGATTTGGCTAAACTCTACCTTCTCGAAATGGCAACTCATGGGTCCTAGTTCTTCCCTGCACACGTGGCACTCAGAGAGGCAGCCAGGAATGGTGAGACAGTGTGCTGGGGTGGGCGTCAGAATTTTGACTCTAGTCCCAGCTCTGCCTCCATCAGTCAGTCCATCTTTCAGTTTTCTCTCCTATGACATTGGCTCCTGTCACAAATGATCTTTGATCCCTTCCATATCTGACATCATATTAGTCTAAAACCAAGTCATGTACCAATTTTCAAATATTTGAAGATAGCCCTGTCACCTTTCTCCCAGTTTTTCCTGTTCGAGCTTTTCCAGCTTCTCATGTGACATGACTTCTGGACCCTTCCCTCTCCTGGTTGCCCTTCTCTGGGAAGGCTCCAATTTACCCATTTCCCTCTGACATGTGGTGCCCAGATCTGTACATCGTGCCCCTGCTGTCCCTTGTCTACCTGCCTGGTTCCTCTGGATCCTGAACACCTTCTCTTGTTAGATCCCATCTAACTATTCCTTAAGACATTTTGGACTTAGCTGAGTTTGTTTCTTCTTCTCTTGCTTTATCTGACCTTACCTCTTGAAAGAGAGCACCATAGTGAACAAATCCACAAGAGTCTTAATTTAGATTTTTTTTTTTTTTAATAAGAAGAACCAAGGCTTTCTAGTGCTAGCCTAAATTTGCCATCCTTGCTTGTTTAACATTTAAATAATTTATTCTCATAGGCATTTTTGAAAGGCAGTGGTTTTAGGACTATACATTCTTCAAGAATTTGATGAAAGTTCTGGATTTTCTGCCAGAGAAAAATTCATCTAAAATTTTGTGTGTCATTTTGGGGCACTGCACCGCCCCCCCCACCCCAAAGTAGTCCACTGGCCTCTCTGATATGTGGCAAGTTAGTTTTACACTCACAAAGTTGTTGGTAGGGGAAGCTTTTGCAAAAGGTAGCCTAATGTCTTCTTCTGTATCCCCTTACAATTCATGGAGGCCCTAAAAGTAAGACCCTCTGGGACTTGGTTGAGCAAACACCAGTGAAGATCAAGGCAGGACAGTGTCCAGACCAAAAAGCAGCTAAGTTCTTAGGTTAAACAAAGAACAGCTTTTGGTGGTCTCCTTTTGCAACAAGAACTTTACTTCTTGGGGCCTTTCTCTATATAATAAATCTTACTCTTTCGATGCTTGGCCCCTTAAATTAAAGCCATCTGCTTGTCTAAGGCTTCCCTCAATCTCATGATGCTACTGGTCAGAGGCTGATACTTCTTTGTCCCTCTTCCCCACCCAGGCTGTCCAAAAACACTACCCAGCTGTGAAAACACCCTGATTCTGACTAGTGCTTTTGTCCTACTGGCGCTTGTCCAGACCATCCTGGGTGAGGTTTCAGGCTTATGGGCTTTGGCCACTGTCCCTCCCTTGAAAGCTCCCATCCTCTCTGAGAATGAAAGGTTTCAAGTCTTGAAAATAATAACACTCCTTTGGTTATAGTGAGCAGATTTGCGGAGAGGTAAACAAAGAAACATACTGCTGATCAGGAAGAATTCCTTTGGAAAAAAACACAACAAAAATCCAGGACATTCAGGCCTCTTAACCTCAGGGATTCACAGAAAAGGACATCACTTTCAAAGTTGAAGAAATGGGATTTGGTCTCTGCATTCCATATTTACCAAGTTCAGCTGTATATAAGACTGAGTGACTCCAAGACCTTTCTTCCCTGTTCCTCAGGACAACATGGAGAGAGATTATCTAAGCTTGGATTTCTACAGGAAACATGAAGACATTTCCCTTATGAAAAAAAGAGATGATTTTCAATCTCAAATAGCAGTTTATTTATATATTTAGTTGGCTAGTGAAGAATGTTTAGAAAGAGCACAACCAAACTCAGTTGTAGGCAAAATAAATTGTGGTAGAATCAATTGCACGTTTTTTAGCCTGAAAAGGATCATACACTTAGGTCATTCCCATAGCTTCTCCTTAGTGGACTCCTTAAAAAACTTAAATAAATTTATTTTGAAAGGAAATTTTATATCACTATGGAAAACTCAGGACCACTTGCTACAAAGAGAAGGTAACCATAAAATAAATACAATACAAATGAAATGAGATTTAAAGTTAGCTAGATACTATTGCCTTTTGGGTTTTGGTTGATAAGCAAGGGATAGAGAGGTTTCATCACTAAACTAAGACTTCTCTCTTTACTAATCAGAACTGATTAAGTAATTAATGATATTAATGCTATTTAAGGATGTGGCCATCTTCCACCCCACATCATCTTGCATACCATCAGTGGCATGAATTCCACTCTCTGAACAATCCATTTTTGGTCCAGTAATTCTCCAACTGGCTACACATCAAAATACATATTTCTAGCCATATTTCCTGAGATATACTTTAAGATATAAAGAAGTATAATCTCCAGGAATCAGGTCCATAAATATATACTGATATGAGCACCTCCAGATTAGGAATCTTCCAGAGATGGGAACCACCAATAGCTAAACCCAAAGACTTTGTCTCTAGTGCCCAGTCTAGAATGACTGAGCCAGTCTAAACCCCCAGCTGCCTTGACTTTCAACTGCACAGCCCCCATGAATTTGTCACACAAAGAGCTTTCACAATCTTTTTCACTGTCCAAATTTATCTGCTTTATCTCTCATTATTTCTTGCTAAGTCATTTACCAATCAACACAAAGGTTAGCATTCAATCATGTCAAAAGGATTGTGCTGGGTGCCATTTGGAGGAGGTGGGTGCAAAGTACCTTCCCTTACTGCTAAGCCTAATAGCTACTATTGAGTATTTACCATGCACCATGCTCTGTGCTAGAATGCTTTTCATATACTTTCTTATTTGGTCTTCACAATAACCCTTCATATTAGGTATTATTAGTGCTATATTCTATATATGTGGAGATGTTAATTTGCCTAAGGACACACAGCAAAGTTGTGATGGAATTGGGATAAAAACCCAGGTCTGTGCATTTCTGAAATAGCTACTTTTAGCTTCTGTACTAAATAGAATGTTTATGACCTAGTTGCAATATGACAAATTAATCTGTGACTAGATGTTGAAGAGTTCATACATAATGTAAGAGCTCCGTTGTCATAGAGGCAATGTCTCAACCCAAGTATATGTTCAGAAATTGGGGCAGGCCAGTAGTATCTTTGCTATTGCACTATGTATGCTAAATCCAAACGTGCTTTGCTTATATTTGGAGTTAGCCCTCCTTATATCATGTAATTTATTATTAAAAACCAAACAGGAATGATTGAAACTGGTGCTTATTAAAGCCAATCAGAAGATAGTATGGTAGATTTGCTAAACAAAAACTATAAATATGGGCAGAAAATCCTGACTAGGACTATGTTTTTATATTTATAGGATAACTTGAATGGACATATAATTATCTTTAATTGCCTGTTCCAACATTTGACTATATGAAATGAATAGTCACTTAGAATTAATCTGATCTTTGCTAAATTCTACAAAGGACTTTCACCTCAACCCATTATTTTTATAGAGGATAGGGAAGAAAAGAATTCACTGAAATTAAGTGGTCTTAGATATCCTATTTAAAAGAATTGGAAAGAAGGAAAATATTGCAATAGAAACTGCAGTTCCATCCTTATTTATTCTTTGTACACACAAATACATAATCTCTGCATAGCTCTATTTCTGGGCATTCGGCAATGACTCAAATTAATGTGGGTCAGATGAGATGTGGATGTCAGTAAGGCCTGGTCTAAGCTTTGTGGAAGTAACTGAAGTGCTAAGGATGAAGCTTGGAGAAGCACGTGTGACAAGGTTGTGTACACATTTCATGCACTACTTACCTTGTGGATTGCAGGTACCTTTAGCTAATCCCAATATGTGCTAGACATGCCTGAGAAGGTTTTCATCCAATACTGTATAATGAAGTATTTTATTGGTGCTGAGTCTATAGCTCTTTAAAACAAAATTAGAAGTGGACCAATAACAAAATGTTCATTCAAACAAAGGAAAAGTGCTTGCCAAAGTTTTATATTTATTATTAGGTTGAAGTCTATTTATGTAGTTCAAATCAAATACAAGAAATCACATCATGTCATCATATCTGTTTAAATGTTTTAACTGTCAAAATGAGGTATTCTGGCTTTACAATGTTCTAGGTTGAAGTAAGTAGTTTAATCAAGGTTACAAGAAAGAAGATGAGAGAGATAATTGAACAATTACTTCCTAGGGGAAAAATGCCAAGTGAAATGTGTGTGAATGAGATAATTAAGCCACAAAATACATTTCAGAGTATCAAGCAGCATATATGCAAAATTCTAATCCTAACATTAAAATTGGTATAATTTGTTATTATTATTTTTACTTAACTTAGCAAACAGCATGCACTACAGTGTAAAGCAAGCAATAGAGGACAAAATACAATACCTATTGAGCATTTATCAGATTCACATGTCATCTGAATTGACCAAGACTTATTTTCACTATAATAATTTCTGTATTTTCTAATTGCTGATCAGTAAGGTTAAGTATTACAGTTGGCATGTACACAATATAAATAATGCATACACAATCTGTATTTAATACTTATTAATACTGGGGTATAAATTAGTAAGTATAATAGCAGCAAGGTACCACTATTTCTAGAATATGTTCTAAGATTTATCATATTGTTACTATAGATTCACAACTGAAGTGTTATTAGTGCTGTAAGCTAATAACAAATGTAAAATTGCAAATGTACAAAGCTACCAAAGGCCTATTTGACTTTTCAAAGTGCTGTGCTTCGTGTTGGGCTCAGAGCTTGTGAGCAAGCCCCTGCTGCTTGAATTAAGTATTGGTCCCAAATTCTGGGCTCCAATCAGGTATAGTTCTAATGATTGTGTGTGTGTGTGTGTGGGGGGGGGTGCGGGCAGAATAATGCATTTGAGAAGAGTAAGGAGCAATGACCACTATAGTAAGAGTCTGTTGGACAGCACTGCATACATGTGCCTTCCACTGTAATTTGCCAGCATCCTGTGATTAACAGTAATCAGCAGATGATGGAAAAAGTTCAGAAGACCAGAGGAGAAAGTGGTAACCTATGAAGGAGATCAGAAGGAATGACTTAGAAAATGCCTCCAGACTATTGATGGGGCTGCCCCCGTAGACTGTGAGATTGCATTCCCAGAGAAAAGAAGGGAAATATTTTATCTAAGCTATTTGGCTTAGAAATGAGTTTGAAAGTCCCAAGAAGAGGTTTTGTTGGAAGAGATACTTGAATACTATATCCGCTGCAGGACAGAGTTATCTTAGAATATTTTTATAGTGTCTAAGACTGTGCTATTTTAAGAAAATCAATAGCATTTTGTATGGCATTCTTCTGGGTTAGGGCCAGTTCAGAGATATAGTACCATTGGTGTCACTGTTTCTAGTGGAATAGTCTGTATTCCAGGAAGCTGGGGGATTCAGACACTAAAGAGATAGTGGATCTCTTGGGGCAGGAAGGAGCTGTTCAGTATCATCTGGAATTAAGGGTAAAGTTTCTAGCTAAACACTTACCACCCAATCAGTTCACTCCTGTGTGTCCCAAAGCAATGTGTGTGAGTGACAAAGCTATGGTGGCTAATACCAGGGAGCAGGCCGAGGCGGAGGGCCAACATGTACCAGACAGTTGGTGGAACTTAGAGGGACAATCATGTTCCATGCCATACAAAACAAACTTCTGGTCAGTCTGGATGTTTGATGCTATCAAATTTCTAATACGTTTCCTCTTGGCCTAACAAGATTGTTTAGTGTGTATTGGGAAAGTCCACCTCTCAGAAGCCCACACATACATTGGAAGATTTCTTTGAACGCTACACATTTCATTTTATAGATCATCAAAGGTGCCATTCCTGGACAAGTTCTTCCATCCTACACCACACTTTTGGAAAATAAACCCAAGTAGCATTCTCCACACATGCCACAGAAGGAAGAATACCACAATTGCACCTCCCCTGAGCATAAGACATTTAATCTAAACATTAGGGACCTTATATTTTGGAAAGATAGTCAACCAAGGTTTGCAAAACACTCAGCACTGAAGTAGCAGACAGCATCTTTATTACAGATGAGAGAACCAGGAAAGATGTAGCACAGGATCACTTGCTCAGATACGAAAGGGGAGTCTCATGGCTGTGTTCATTAGCTCCACACTGTTTCCCAGAACTTAACAGTAAAAACCTGCAGTCAGCCAAATAAAGAACATTACAAAAACTTTAGCTGTGGCATGAACTAAAACTGTAAGATGGTCTGATTTCATGTAAACTCTTTGCTTCCAGGGAAAAAGAAGTAGTTTCATTTCAGTCCAGATTTCTTCTGTTGCTTCGTCTTTAGCTCTTTGCTAAACCTTCTAGCTGGATTGTAATAATACTTCCTTGGGGAGCACTTTCTGATGACCAGATTCCAAAAACTAGAGAGAGAAAAATCCTGACACATCACAAAACTTCATTTAATTCTGGAATGCACCATTACATTGTCTTCTGGAGTAGAAACGTTAGTTTTTTTTATTTGAATATGAAGTCTTGAAAGAAGATTCTTAAGATCTATTATTACCTGGGCTCAGATCTTGTGCTTTTCTTTAAGTTTATATAAAATCCCGGGTTTGGACTGGGGCTTAATTGTTCTCAAGAATTCTAGAGTCTGCATTTAGCTCTAAAGAAAATTACTAAACTTAATTACTATCAAGTCTAAAACAGCAAATATAAAAAAAAATTGGCATGACCTTCTTAGAGATCTGCCATGAACTTAAAATTTAATCTTCAGTAACTTCAATTCCTTCCATCAAGTCCATCTTGACCTTTCTCTCCAATCCTAAGAATATCTTCTATACTCATGAACCACAGTAGAAGCTCTAATAGACTCAAAGTTCCAGACTGTAAGCTCTGCTCTAACCTAGCTGAAACCTGGGATGGTCCCCTTTGCCACAAAGCCATGGAAATGTGGCCCTGTGCGAAATGGTCCAGGGAGCTCATGAAAAACTCAGTTACATTTGGAATAAATATGACTTCAATTCTGTTAAACTAAAGTCCTTTTTGGCTCAGTCAAGCAGCTTCTTAGCTGATCTTGAAGTTAATTCTAAGTAAGCGAGAGCCTTGTTTTGCTCTGAAAATTCTCTAGAACTTGTGAGAACAAGGAATGTGGTTGGGTCACCATTTATATTGTTGGCAGTTGCATAATGAGTCATTGCCCTAACGTCTATTTTCCATCTGTCCCATGTGTCTGAGTTCTGCTGTCTGGCCCTGAAATCAAGGAGCAGAAGGCACACACCCTTTACAATATGTTAAGCAATTTTTTCTTGAGACAGAGATTCTGCCAATTTGAGGGTGTTATTGAGGGAAAATTGAAAATAATCCTCCTTCTACTTCCCAGAACTCCAGTGCAGACTTTCAAAAGGGAAGCAAGTCTGGCAACCCTAGCAGCGCAAAGAAGTGGACACCTGCACCCACCAGGCAGAGCAGGATCCCATGCATGCAAGCTCGGTGCAGTCTTCTGTGTTTCTGTGACATGCTTGATGACTTTTATCATGCAAACACTGAGGTGCACTTATATGTTAAATGTTAGAACCCAAGTGAAGTGCAACTATCTATTTAAAAACCAATGGAGAAAATCAAGTAAACATTTCACGGAACAGTCAGCAGCCCTTGGGTGTTACTGGCATCCCGTGTAGGTAACTTGTCAATGCACCTGGCCTCATAGCACCAAGCACCCAGACAAAAGCTGAGGCTCAAATAAAACAGAGCAGAATAGTTCTCCTCTTGCCTCCTTATCTCTTTGTCAAATATTGATAACAAAGGGTTAAAAGAAGGGAAGTGATCTAGTCCCTAGTAATTGATTAAGATTTAAAAACAAAAGCAAGATGAAACAATAACAACAAAAATAAAATCCTGAGGGTAGACTGGGGATTTCAGAGCTTTGCCACTAGGGTTTAACACCAGAATTGAGGGCAAGTTAAGAGAGTAAGAGGATGCCCTTTCTTCCTTCTATCCAGAGAAGACCCTACAGAATTCCACAGTACCATCCCAGAAATCTCTATGGGGAGGGGTTCAGATGCAAGACAAGGGAAAGTTCAACCAGATTTTCCCAGAGTCATTTGTGTTGTGACCTCCTCAAGCTTGTAAAAGCTAAAAGTCAGGGTTTAAATTACATTACAGAAAGTAAAGGCTGGAAGACCAAGAGTTGGGGGTGTGTATGTGCTTTTAATAGCTCACCTAAGACACCCCTCTCTGTGGGTAACATGCAAAATTCATCTATGAGCATCAAAAGATAGAAATGGGAAACTGCTGAGAAGAGTCAATCTTTATAAATGCAGACATCCATTCTGGATTCGTGTTTAGATTTCTTCCTTAAGAATCCAGAAGCTGACACTTCCTTAGGGATCCTCAGATAGTGCTGAGGAGCAGCAAAGTGCACACACTCTCATGCCTAGTTTTCTTTCTAGCTCCTTCCTTTTCAAGCACTCTTCAGGAGGGTCTACCTAAGAGCTAAGAGTTCTTCATGACTCATTTCATCTTCTGTCCCAGGGCGTGGCTTGGTAGTGACTCCTCAGATCTGGGCTGTGTGCACACATATACACTGTCCCCAGCAGAACTGGGGCCATGACATCTACAGCAGAGTCAGAGGTCACTCACAGCCCTGAGATGCGCAGTCCTGTTGAGGGGAGGAAGACCATAGCAGCATCTGTCCTGGGTGACAAAAGTTCAGTAAGCTCCTGTGTGAGTGCTCTTGAAGTAAGAAGCACTGCAGATAGTTAATCTATAAATAAATACATAAATTAATAAATAAGTCAATCAATCAAATCACAAGAGGGCTCTTTATAGATAAGCATCTCTTATCTATTAAAAACAAAACCCTCTTGAGTTTCAGAGCCCTCATGCAGTAGTGATTTGTAGGCTCAAAACAACCTGCAGAAAGTAGAACAATTGAGACAAGGACTGGAAATGTTCCAACAGTGGGTATTTCTCCCTTGATGACACACAAGTCATCCTAAATGTCCTCGAGGTAGTCTTGTTTTCAAGGAGTTACAGAATGGCTCCAAACCCACTTGGAGCGCCCTCCTTTAATGCCATTGCACTTTCCCACGCATCCTGCGTCTGCCTCCTTGGTACCACCAAGTTGCCTTCCACTTAGTATTGTGTCCCACACAGCACAAATCCAAGTCCTAGGCAGACAACAATGAAATGCAATTTCAAGATCTGGCTTGAAGACTGCACTCCAAAGAGGACTTTCCCAAAATGATGCAGGTACTTACCTGGCAGCCATTTTGGAAAAAGCTACAGAATTAAATCAAAGAAGTCTGGCATGCAACAACATGCATGTCTACCTCTTGTTGGGCCCCACGCTGAAAAGATCTCCCATCATTGCTCCTTTCGCTTTTAGAAAAGGGCCAAAAGAAAGAGGAAGGAATTGGTATTCTAAAACTGGGAAACATAATTTCTGATACCAAGGGCAGTATGCACTGTTTATCTGAAAAATGAAGGTGACCAGTTACCAGCACAAGCTATTCAAGAACAGCTGTGGTTGAAACAGCTTGGTGATAAGTCCTACTCTCTCACGAAGAAATGGCGACATTCAACAATCCTAGACAGAACTGGTGCTTGGCTCCTTTCCTGCTCACAGCCCCAGGTTGGTGTTAGAGCCACCCCAGAGGGCAGTCTACACCTGTAATGAGCCATTCTGTTGACCAGGAATTCCTTTCTGGTTCAACCTTTCCACTGGCTCAAAAACAAAACCCTGGAAGACAATAGGGAACTGGGTGAGTTAGAGGACACTCAATACCCCAGTGGAACTTGCAGACCCTTTCCGTATTCCATTCACCACCAGAAGCCATTGGGGAGGTCCCAACCTTGCTCACAAGAAAGATGCTTTCTTCCCTTGGACTTAAGTTTTTTAAAAGTCTCATTTGGGAAAAATGCAATTAAAAGCCCTGTAATTTTATCCAAATGGCCCTGTGAGGAAGGAAAAGAAAAATGCCATCCTCCTCTTACTTCTCCATCACTGCCCAGGGGCCATCCTAACAGGAAACCCTTCAGAACTCTACCCTGGATCAACAAATTCAACATTAAGTTAAATAAAAAATTAAATCAGCATTTAGCCAGAGCTTTGTCCTCCTGTAAGAGGTCATTCAACTCGATGACAGTCGTGGCAAAGTCCACCAGGTCAACGAAGTCAGACGTGATGATGTTGACACCCATGGCTCCGGGCTTCTGAGTTTTCACCCAGTCCAGGATGGCAGGAAGATTCCTACACAGAGGAAAGTGTTGAGGAAGAGAGAACAGGAAGTGGAGTTTAGAAGTACTCCTCCAGAAATAGAAACAAAACATTTCCATCAATGTAAGAAAAGCATGTTAATAGAAGCACAAGCCTCCAGAGTTATGTCTGTTTAAGCTTTGTATCTCCTTCAGGGATGAGGTGGTCTCTATTCTATCAGAGAATTATACTTTCCAGGGTTTCCTTGCCGGAAGAGGAGATTATTTGCTCCAAGCACCAAAAGAAATGCCATGTCAATAGGACTTCAAAAAATTAAAACCGAGCGCTTCAGTGCTGGTGGGTTCTTTAATTTTTTTTTTTTTTTTTGAGACAGAGTCTCACTCTGTTGCTCCAGCTAGAGTGCTGTGGCATCAGCCTACTTCACAGCGACCTCAAACTCTTGAACTCAAGCAATCCTTTTGCCTCAGCCTCCTGAGTAGCTGGGACTGCAGGCACAAGCCACCATGCCCGGCTAATTTTTTTCTATATATTTTTAATTGTCCAGCTAATCTCTTTCTATTTTTTAGTAGAGATGGGATCTCTCTCTTGGTCAGGCTGGTCTCCAACTCCTGACCTCCAATGATCCTCCTCCCTCGGCCCCCGAGAGTGCTAGGATTATAGGTGTGAGCCACTGCGCCTGGCCTAAATTTTTTATCATGAAAATTTACAAACATATGACAGCATTGAAAGAATTTTTCAGTAAATATATCCACCACCTAGATGTCACCACTAACATTTCACTGTACTTTCTTAGCACATATATATCAACCCATCCCTAGCTTTCCATCAATCCATCTTATATTTTTAACATATCCCAACTGCAAACTTATATACATATCTCCTAAATACTTCAGCATGCATATGACTAACTGGGGCTCAATATTTGTTTTCAGTTGCTTTTCTTTTGACATAAAGTTAATATTCAACAAAATGCAAAAATCTTAAGGGTATACTCACTAAGTATATATACACATAACTCAAACCAAGGTATAGCACATTACCAGTGCTCCAGAAAGTTCCTCCATGCCCCTTCCCCCTCCATCCCTGCCCCATCTTAGAGGCAACAACCCTACTGATTGTTTTTCTTGCCATAGATTAGATTTGCCTATCTTAGAATTTCACATTAGCCATGTAAAATGTGTTCTTTTTTGTGAGTTTTCTTTCATTCAGCACAATGGTTCTGAAATTCATCCATATTGTTGCATGTATCAGTAGTTTGTTCTTTTTTAAATCACTGCACAGTAGTAGTCCATTGTATGAATATACTGCAGTTTGTTTATCTGTTTCCTATAGGGTTGTATGCATAAGCTGTTTCCAGTTTTTTTGATATTATGACTAAAACTATTATGAGCATTCTTACATGAGTGTTTTTTTTGACACTTGTTTTCCTTTCCCTTGGATAAGTACCAAGGAATGAAATTACTGCATTATAGGGTTAGTTTACATTTAGTTTTATAAGAAACTGTCAGACATTTTCCTAAAAAGATTTTTCCATTGTATACTCTTACCAACAAAGTATAAGAGTTCTGGTTGCTTCATTACCTCCCGAAAATTTGGTGTTATCAGTCTTCTTAATTTTAGCCATTCTAGTGGGTGTGTAGAGATATCTTGCAAGGTTTTGATTTGCATTTTTCTGATGACTAACAATGTTGGACAGTTTGTCATGTGCTTACTGGTCATGTGCTTATTGGCTTATCTACTTTTTGGAAGTCTCTGTTCAATTCTTTTAATTATTTCTTCATTTTCTTTCTTTCTTTCTTTTTTGTTTTTGGTTTTTGGTTATTGAGTTGTATAAGTTATTTACATACAAGTCTTACATATTTGCATACAAGTTTTTGGTGAGATATATTTTGTAAATATTTTTCCCCAGCCTATAGCTTGTCTATTAATTATATCAATTTTTTGATGAGCTGAATTCCTTAATTTTGATGGAGTTTAATTTATCAATTTTTTCTTTTATGGTTTCTGTGATCTGTTTCAGAAACTTTTGTCTACTGCCAATTCACAAAGATATTCTCCTATGTTTTCTTCTAAAAGCTTTATAGTTTTCACTTTTATGTTTAGCTTGAAGATTCATCTCAAACTAACTTTTGTATGTTGCATAAAGTAAGAGTGAAGGTTCACTTTCCCATATGGATATACAATTATTCTATCATTATATGGGGCTTCTTTTTTTTTTTTTTTTTTGAGACAGTGTCTCTCTTTGTTGCCCAGGCTAGAGTGAGTGCCGTGGCGTCAACCTAGCTCACAGCAACCTCAAACTCCTGGGCTTAAGTGATCCTCCTGCCTCAGCCTCCCAAGTAGCTGGGACTACAGGCATGCGCCACCATGCCTGGCTAATTTTTTCTCTATATATTAGTTGGCCAATTAGTTTCTTTCTATTTATAGTAGAGACGGGTTGGTTTGCTCAGGCTGGTTTCAAACTCCTGACCTTAAGCTATCCGCCCTCCTTGGCCTCCCAGAGAGCTAGGAGTACAGGCGTGAGCCACTGTGCCCTGCCTATATGGGGCTTCTTAATAGACCAATACTTAACCAGTTGTCTCATGAACAGTCTTTCAGTCTCATTTTATGAAATGAAGCCTTCCTATACGACAGCTAGTTGTTTAGTGATATAATATGATAATTTCTACATCAGTAGTATGTGTAAAGTACCATGGACAGTAGAGATGAGGGAGCAATAAAGTGTGCTCATAGCTTTACATCTTGGTAAAAACAGCTCACTAAATACTCAATAGGTTAAAACTGTTTTAAGACAGAAGACAGAAACTAGGGCTTAAGTTTTGGTTAAGGAATGGAGATTTTTTTAGGATCTTCCTAGGCCAAAATTGAAAATAAAATTAAGTTCATTATTTTAATTGGTCCTTCCTCTTATTTTGGTAACATTCTCTTTGGTTGTCATCTTCTTTCTCCTTTGAAGATGCCATCCCTTCTTTAAGCATACATCCTGACTTCTCAGTCTTCTAGACATCCCTCTTAAAGCCTTGGTGGCATTTTGTCTTTCTACTCTTTGTTTTTCTCTTACCATGACAACTATTCTTGGTCCTGGGTCTCTTCCCTCACTTAGTGGGCTCTAGAAGCCATGGGCTAAAACACATCTCATAAATCAATTTACATTTTGATATTAATAGCTGATTATGATTTAATAGGAAACCCTCCCAGGGGTACTTTCATTGTTCCTTGGGATTCCTGAAGACCTAATAATCTCAATATGACCTTAAGTTAGTGAATTTCACTGTCCCTTAATCTCTCCCTCCACAAAATGGGGACAATAACAATACCTCATATAGACTTTGGGGAATTAAATAAAATAATACATGTAAAGTATTTAGAACAGTTCCTGGGATAGAGTAAGTCTATGTAAATATTTGGAATCATAAATGGGAGAGTGTAAGGTAAAGATGGTTACGGGCTGGGGTAAGAAACTTTCTGAAAGAGGTCACATCCTGCTGCTTAGGCTACAAAGTGCTGTGGCCTGAGAGTGGGGGGCTGCAAATACAGACCTCCTTTAAAGGTAGGCCAGGAATACACAGTGACCTACATGAAGGACACGGAGCCTGAAAAGTCCCTAGTCAGTGTTTAAGTATGACATGCAGGCGCCATCTGCTGGTCATCATGGGGAAATGGGAATTGGCCAAGTGCAGCCTGAGACAAACCTTGGAGGATCCCTTGGAGCCTGAGCAGAGAAATGTGGAAAAGGTGTGTACCTCTGGTCTCCGGTGACAAAGAGCTCTGTGTCAGCCTCGGGTTGCATGTGTCAACTTTACCCAAGGCAAGGATCAAATAACCAGGATTATGTACAAAGAAAGGGAAATGTAGAACCCACTGGGAAGAGGAGCCACTTTATTTTCTTAACTCCTGGCATTTAGCAGGATGAGAGATCCTTGCAGAGGCTGAGCCAGACTGGCCCCTGAGATGACAGGCCCCTGAGATGACAATTCCTACAGGCTACAAAGCAGGAGGTTAAAAACTTCCCTTCTACCTTGAGGCCCAAGAACAAGGCTTGCCGCTGTGTTTCTGGGTTTTTTTACACAGAGGGATGGCAGAGCTATTTTGTGCCAGGCACTGTGGTAGGCACTTTCATGTTAAGGCTCTACAATCTCGTGAAGTATTATTATTAGCCCCACTTAACTAATAACAAAAACTCCCACAGCTCAGAGACCTCAGAAGACTTGTCCAAGGCCACCCTGTTGCTAAGAGAGTGCATCAGTTTGCTAGGACTGTCTTAACAAACTACCATACACTGGGTGGCTTCAACAGGAATTTATTTCTAACAGTTCTAGAGGCTGGAAGTCCAAGATCAAGGTCTCAGTGGGTCTGGTTCCTCCTGAGGCCTCTCTCCTTGGCTTGCAGCCACCTTCCCGCTGTGTCCTCACGTGGCCTCTTCTCTGTGCACACATATCCCTGGTGTCTCTTTATGTGTCTAAATTTCCTTTTAAGGATATGAGTTAGATTGGATTATGGCCCACCCAATGGCCCTCATTTTAACTCAATCACCTCTTTAAGGGCCGTTTCACCAAATACAGTCACATTCGGAGGCACTGGGGTAAGGACTTCAGCACATGAATTTGGAAGAGGCACCATTCAGCCCATAACGGGGACCCTGTCAGCCTCAGACCTTTTGGTCTCAGTCCATGTCCCCATCTGGAGTTTCATGGGTGTCCACTTTTCAGGCTCAGGCAAAACTCACTTTCATTTGGTTTCAGTGGGAGTGTTATGAACCTGAATCTGGGGGGAAACACATAGAAATGCAGCCAGATGGCTATCTTTTTTGTGACTTCCTTCTAGGGTGAAGAGCCAAGGTGAACAAGATCTTAGATCCAAAGTTTACCTAAGAGCTGGGGAGGTTAAATCTCTGCTGAGAATACCACTTCTACATTTGTAAGAAAATATACTTTGTCTTTATCTTCCTGGTTTGAGCTGATAACTAGTCCGGCCCAGTCTGCAGTGCCCCAGTGGGGCTTATCTGTTAGGACAGACCCTCTGGGTGTTGGTACTACAGGAGAGGCCCTATGTTTGCTCAACGGCTGCAGAGGAAATGACAGCCACACTCTGCACTGGCCTTTGGGAACAAACTCAGCCAGAGCTGCGTTTCCTCCTTCTGTTGATGTGCACGCCTAGGAATGCATGAGGCATCCCTGTGATATTCTTGTGACCAGCAGGGGAGGAGATGTCAAAGTATCTCTCCAAGTCTGGGGACATCTGCTTGCTAACAGTTGGGCACAGGCTCTGGCATGCTAGTATACCTTGATTTTGGGCGTATGACAACATCATTGCTAGTAAGTGAAAGAGCCTGTATTTCATTTGCAGCCAGACTAAGATCTAGGAATGTGCAAGTATGAAAAGCTGTGTGACGTTATGGGTTACCAGATATAACCAACCAGTTAGATTCAGGTACTGGTAAGACAATTGCAGGCCTGTGGAGCAAAAAGGAACACAGCACTACAATATGCAGCACTGAACACTGAAAAGCCAGTGGTCCAATGATCAGAAGTCCAGAATTTGAGACATATTGACTCTTACTAGCTGTGTGGATCTGGGTCACTTAACCTCACTGAATCCCATCTTAAGTGGGGATGATATTGTGCTCTAGACAATGTGCCCTCCTAGAGGATGGCTCGAGTTAAGAATCAAATGAAATCATCTGCAAAAGGGGACTCTATATTCAGACTATGCTATACAGATATAACTTATTTTTTTTTAAACACTCCTCCCTTATTAGTACAGCTCTCTGCACAGACTTTTTAGAGTGATTTTCACATTGCTTTATAGAAATTTTCATGTTAGTGTTACCTGCTACACTGTGAGTTCCATGAGGGCAGATAGTGTATTATTTATCTTGAATCTTTGCATATAGTTTCTCCTAGGTACTCAATGTTTGTTGAATGAATAAATACAGATGTTAATCTATAAATTCACCAAAGTCATGAGGAAAATGGTGGGGATACACAAACATATATTATACAAAAAAAGAAAGTTTATAACTCTGGATCTTTCAAAATGATGTAATACTGGTTTATAAAACTCTTTCCCAAGTTCAGTGCAATTAATTCAGCCCAGACTTAACAGAGCCACACAGAAAGAGGTTTCTGGTTCTGCCTATGGTTGACATAATCAGAAACTTTCACCAAGAAAGGAAAATGCTGGTGCCCCTTGATATCTAAACTCCTGCAAATGAACTCCTGTCATCTGAATCCATGTTATCCAAACTCAGAGCCATATAAACAGGAACTTGTTTTTGGATGACTCTTTCACTATCTGAATCTGCTCACTACCTGGAACTCGGGAATCAAACTGATTCTTATAAATATCTTTTGTTACCTGAACATATTAGCTTCCTTGGCTTAGATTGCAAGGGATGCTCTGTTATCCAAATGTATTTATAACATTCCCTTTATAATACAAACATATATACATATATACATATACATACACACATACATGTACATTTATATATAAACCATCCTTTTCCTAAACATCTATCATTCACTGGTGTCCAAGATAAAGAACACCATCTAATACAAAATTACTGGAGGTCTTCCTGCCTAATTGTACAGTCAGGCTCAATTCTGTCCTGAGGAAGTATCTGAAGCTATGGCATGGTGGGTGGCACCCTAAGCTGCTTCTTAGGACTAATGGTCACCATGGAAGCCTTTTGGGAAAGGCTTAAAGAGCCATCTACCAACCCCTAGCATCCAAAGCAGTCTATATTTAATGGTTCTTCAATGAGTGAGTACCTGGGCTAGCTCAAATGTGGCCATGTCAGGAGAGAACAGAAACGGCATTAGCTAAAAGTGATTTGTCTTAGTATCAAATATAGAGAGTACAGTATTTCTGACATGCTGTGTACTTAGTAATAAAGTATTTAGAGATCCTTTGTTAATATAATCCATATCAAATGCACAGCTTTTTCAAATATATGGGTTTTGTTTTTGTTGTTTTTCTAAATCCTCCATCTATGTAGTCTTTACTGATGTTTATTCAGAACAGAATCAAGATAAATGCTTTTTGAAAAAAACATCTTACTTGTAGGGGTGGAAGCAAATGCTTACCTATGAACCAGAGTGTTCTTGAGACCGCCCACCAGGCCCCGGGCGATGGTCTTCACTCTGGGGGTGAGAATCGCTTGGGAGACGTGGAAGGAGCCGCGTGGGGCCCGCTCACTCAGAGTGGTCTCCAAGAAGAGGATTAGTTTGTGCACGCTTGTGGTATTTGCCCAGGGTGCTGGGATCTTCTTTCCTGGCCACAGGAAGGGATATTGCTTGTAGAAGGGACAGTGGTAGAAAATAAGAACCTGAAACGTTCAAGACAGAAAAAATGAGAGCAATTGATGAAAAAGGTGCATCTTAACTCCTTGGTTTTATACTGTTAGCTGAGAAAAAGGCAAACAAATATAATCAAATGTGGAACTTCAAGAATTGTTATATATTTTTTTTTAGAAAATAAGCAAAGATTTACTGAGCACTTACAATATTTCTGACTCAAAGATTCCTATTTTTTCTTTTTGTCATGAACACCTTGGGCAGTATAGTAAAATTATAGATGCCCCCTTCTCAGAATTATATTTTAAATGAATGCATAAAATTAAATCAACAGGATTAGAAAGTCAATAATATACAAATATAGTTATCAATGTATTAAATATGTAATAAATTAATGTATGTGTTTCATGATAAATACATTAAATAAAAATATTTTGTTGTGAGTCTAGTGAGTCCCACAATTTGAGATAGTGGTGAGCATAAATGATATTTTAAGATATCTGCCATAACTGAAATAAAACACAGACACATCTATAGGGACAGGGTAACAGAGCCAGTGGATCCCTGCCTGCTCTCATAAACCATGGGTGTACTAACTTTCAGTTGAATCTTAGTAAAAATGAATATGTAATCTTTCCCATCCAAATTCACAGACTTCTTAAATCCTGCGAATTTAAGAACCCATACATTTGCACCAGGGAATCTTTCAACTTCAGGCTGAGAATTCTCAGGTTGAGTTGACCAGTAAGGTCTACAAGTTATGTCTCCTGTGCTCATGAAACTGACACATACCCCTTTGGGCTGAGGAAAAAACACTGAACTAATTTGTGAGTAAACAGACTTCCAGTGGTGCACGCTGACTTGGAATGCAATTGCCCTTCCCACGAGGGGAGGGAGTGCGCCACTTGAGACGGGGGAGACTTTGCAGAGGCCGTGGGCCCCCAGAGGGACTGCTCAGGACGGTGGCGATTCTGAAAATAATTAGCAAACCACATTCACAGCATTAATTAGTTTCTGGGAGGCAGCTGTGGGACAGGGAATTGCTATTTTGATTGTCCCAATTCAGAGCTCTGTTGTGTGGGTTTCTAGAAGTAATTTTTTCTTCCCTCCTGGGCACCAGTGATCTTTTCCTGGAGGAATGTCCTGTCCGTGTTTATGCTGCCTGGACTGCAATCCTGGGATAGCTGGCCACAGAGCATAATCCTCTGGGCACCCAAGAACAAGCGCTGTGAATGTCAGTCTTGTTTCCAGTGTGCATTTAGCTTGTGACTAAGGTGCCTGACTAACTGCTCCTGAGGGCCTAAGGAGCGCCAGGCCGGATGCACTGAGCTGGGTAATGGCTGTTCTTGCTGTTTTTAATGGTTTTGAGTAATGTCTGACTGACTGCTAATGATGTCTGAAGTAAACACGTGTGTTAATGAGGTTAATCACAGGCTCATCATAAGCAGATTGCCTGGGAAAGCCAGGAGGATTTCCTCCTGGCATTGTGCTCGGCTAGTTTGGAAGGCTGGGGCCTGTGGGGAAAGCCAGCCTGTGCAATAGACCTTGGGGGTCAGGAGGCTGTGCCGCCCTGTGGCAGCACCTGTCAGACCACAGCCCGTGTGGCTTGGCCCTGGGCTGTGTGTCAGCGGATGAGAGGACAGGGCTGCTCTTCAACGTGCCTGGGAATAGGTGCACAAAGCACAAATTATCCAAAAGGGGCTTTGTGCCTTTCTCAAGTCTTCTTGAGCATTCCGATCCTGAAGGTTACAGACAGTTTGTTTACAGAGGAGGCTGGCCGTGCAAACCAGCTCTTAGTCTATGAGGATCTAGTGACTCTTGCCCAGCGCCTGTGTTTTGCATCTGCCTCCCCACCTGGCTCTGCTGTGTTTTTCTCTGAAACACTCTCCCCTCCTGCTCAGCAGTTCATGTTCAGTTTTTCGCTTGAAACTAAGATTAAAAATCTCATTTTCTTTAAGAACTATGCCTTGATGGATCTCTTCTGATGCTGATCATTCCTTCATTGGGGGCCTCTCGGAGACAGTCTTATGCTATGTTCTAGCATTCGATTGATTTATTATAAAACACTTTTCTTCATATAGTACAAATCATTTGAGGCAGTTTTATCTTGTAATTATCTATCAGTTGTTTTATATATTCCTCATGTTACGTATTCTTTCTCATTAAGATTGCAAATACTCCCAAGATGTAGATTAAATCTTCTAACTCATTCTCAAAACTCATAGCCACTAAAGTACAAATAAATATATACCTGTGAGCTGTGATGTAATTGCATGTTAAGTTAATGAAATTTGATTGAATGGTAGTGTACTTCTTGCTATTAAATTGTAGTAATAAAATACGCAGGGAGTCCCATGCAAGGCTGCTCATTACATAATAAATATTTAAAGTTCACTATGACACTGCCCCAGCAGGGGGAGAGCACTGGGGACTGAGAGCTCTTTGTTTAGTTTTTAAGAAGAGCTGTGGCAGGGAAATGTGGGGAAGAAAGGGGCATAGAGGGATTTTAGAATTTCACCTGATGTCACTCCTTTTTGATGATATGTCATCACAGTCTTTCTTTCATAACTTTAGGAGTATTTGTAGTTGGATGACACAGTTCAATTAGCTCATATTTAAAAACTATGATAGATCATCACTCAGATGCTAGAAATTCACTGTCCACACTAATTATTATTCCTGAAGATACTTTTTACTCCTGCAGATTTCTAAACAGTTTAGTATGCAATATACCTACCCATCCAGGATATTATCTGTGTATTAAATTATAAAATTATATCTGTATTCAAATTTAACCTTATCTGAAGCCCAAAACTCAAAAGCCCTCTTACAGATCTCCATCCATTCCTCCCAGTCTGCTCTCTGAGATCCTCTGATAATAGGGACATATTAATGAAAAGAAAGTGTTTCATTGGCCCTATTTCGACACCAGGCTGTAGAAATCATGAAGATGTGTAAACAGCATTAGAGAGTATCAGAAGCCACAGGAGCTCTGGAGATCCTGGCAGCCTGTGATTGAGTCCTGGTTCTCACTAACCAGAGTTTTAAATCATGCCCAGCTTTCCCTTGAACAAGTTGCTTAATCTCTCTATATCTTAGTTTCCTCATCTATAAAATGGGGATAATGACAAGGTACCTATCTCATAGGGTTGTTGAGAGGATCACATGAGTTAAGCCATGTACCTGGCACATTATAAAGGTTCAAGTAAATGTTGGTAGTTGTTGTTGTTATTACTGTTATCTAACGTTGTAAAAGAAAAACTTCACTGGGAAAAAAATCTCCCCAGATTAGACCTGAACAGATGTAAACTTAAGTTTAGTGGGGAGAGATGTGATAAATATTTGGCAAAATATTACCTACAGAAGTTTAGTGTGGAAAATAGATGGGGAGTTAATTCATCAAGCCTCTATGGAGTCACTTTGAGGGGCTTACAAAACAACCTGGTGCTCCCAGTTACTCTGGCTGAGCCTGGGAGTCATCCTTGAGTCCTCACTTTCTTTCACATATCCCGAATCCTATCTGTTAAGATACACTGTTGGCTCTACCTTCTGATAGATTCAAAATCCAGCCACTAACCAAAGGGTTCCTTACATCTGGCTGCTCCCCTGCCCCCAGTATCTACCTGGCACAGCAACCAGAAGGATCCCAGTAAGACCTAAGTCAGGCCACACCCCCCTGTGGTCAGAGCTCTCCTCACTCCAGTGAAAGCCAGTGTCCTTACTGGCCTTCAAACCTCACGTGATCACCTGCCATCTCTCTAACCTCCTTTTGCTACACTCTGTCCTCACCCTTACTCAGCCCCCTGGCTTTGCTATTCCTCAAGGATGGCAGGGGCACTCCTGCTTTAGGGCCTCAGCACTGGCTACTTCTTCCGCCCCTACAGATCCATGTGATTAATTCCTTTAAATGTCATCTTTTCAGTGAAGGCTTCTCTGATCAATCTATTTAAAATTTCAGCCAACTCTCCAACCCACAGAACCCTGGTCCCCTCTTACCACACTTGACTTTTTCTTTTTCCACAGCTCTTATCACTTTATAGCACTATGTCATTATGTATATATAAAATCACTATTATCTGCAACTTATCACCTCCACCTGAATAAAAGCCCCGTTAGGGCAAGGTATCTTTGTCTGTTTTACTTACTCATTTACCTCTAGTCCTTGGAATATACTTGGTCTTTAATAAATATTTTCAAGTGAATAATCTTTAACTTATTTTTAATCAAAAGCTCCTCCTTGAATTAAAAAATATCTGCCTCTAAGCTGCGTTGGTTAATGCATCTACTGAGCAAGTGAGTAACTTTACATGAAAGGTACTGCCTTTAACTATTATCGTTTGAGTTCACAGTGGAATGTATCTGGGCCCACATTCCTTTTCCTGGGCACGTCCCTCATGGACCTAGGTTTGGAGGCTCTTCTCAACTTAAGCAGTCTAGGGAATGATCTCTCAGGCTGGAGCCCCTTCAACAAGCTCTTCCTTCCTTCACTCGTTCTCCCTCTATGACCCAGATTCTGCAAAGAAGGCCTTTTAAAATATTAACTCTCCTGAGATGGATCACTTCATATGCCTTTGTCAGCTAATGCTTTTCCTTATCAGTCAATACCTTAGCAAGGATTATCTGACACTGAGTTGAAGGCAAGATGGAACAGACTATCCCTAAGGGGAACAAGGTGGGCAAAATGGACCTTATGGAAGATAGAATGGTAATGACCAATTGGCCCAATTTCACAGCATTTCCTTGGGTTGGTTCTGCCAGGCCATGCAAAGTTAATTTAGGTATTAAACAGGTTGCTAGACAAGCTTTAAATATTTGTTTAACCCCAGCCCTTGAAGCTATTCTAGAGCCCAGGAACCAGTTTGAATATGTTTGACATTTCAAACAATTCACACCTTCTAGCCTAAGAGCCCTGGGTTGGCCTGTTTTAGAGCTGGTGATACAGGAAGAGCAGAAAGAATTAAGTCTTGCCCTTAGAAGCTCATCTCTCCTGGCCTCCTACCTGGCACTTCTTCTCCCATAGGTTTTTCAGCGTCATACTTTCCACACTGCAGGTTGGACACAGCTTGCTTCCAAAGGCCTGCTGGATCCGGAGAATCAGGCATTTGTGATGGGCCTCGTCCATGGCATAGAAGTGGTTAAAATCCAAGAAGACAATCTCTCGGGGGTGCTGTGTAAGAAATGAGTCGATCTCCATCAGCCCATCCCAGACCTTAATGCCGAAAAGCCCGTGGATGAAGTAGATCTCCTGATCGGCATCCCCTGGTTTGGAAGACACACGGAGGTCAAAATAGCGGATCCCAGCTTCTAGCTGTTCCCGGAATGTCAGGTTCTGAGTCACAGACCACTTCTTCATTAGCTTCTTCACCAAAGAGATCCTGGCGAGGCGTTTGATAGCCTGAGTTTGGTCAGGCCCCACTGGGGACTTTTCGTCTACCCAGTAGCTGAACGAATCGTGGGAGCCTATGCAAAGAAATAAAGGCGAGGAGAGAAGATGAGACAGGAGTTGGGAAAAATCAGACAATTCATAAGAAAAAAAAATAAGAGCCAAGTACATACACAAAAAATTATAAATGAGTAGTTGCAAAAATTTTCAAGCTTGCTAGGAATGAAACACAAAAGTAATACAGTCTTATTAGCTCGTTAAGCCTGGGGTAATACTATAGTTTCCATATTAATATATTGCTAGTGTAAGGTAAATTAATGAATAATCTTTCAGAAAGCTATTTGAAATATGCTTGCAAATAGGAGCTTTAAAATATTTATATCATTTGATCTAGTAATTTCATGTCAGGAAAGCTATTCTGAGGAAATAAACTCTAACGGTTGGAAAAACAAAGATATTTGCTGAAAAATATTCACAATAGAGACAAACTGGAGGTTGCACCTCATAGAGTAATGTTTAATTGTGGCATATCCACGCGTTCATGCCGTCATTGAAACAAAGGGTGTGAAAACACTGTGCCTGTCTAAATAATGCTGGGATAGGCATTTAAATTTTAGGATAGACAGAATTAAAAAGAGTGCCCCCTTTTTATGCTTTTAAAATGTAAAAAAATAAAAATATTAATTGTACATACTATTTTACTACTGTAAAAATCTGAGTCAGTTGGAATGATTTCTTGACAGATCAGAAAAACATTTTGATGGGCTCAATTCAGTTAATACATTCCTCTTTTTAAATTCGTATCTTAATGAGCCAAAACTGCTATCAGTGGTCCAAATGCACATTCTGTTTCTCTGCCTTAAAAAATAAGATGGTAGGATGAAACTGTCCCTTAGACCGTTGGAGGGCTGGACTATAGCTTAAAAAAAAATTATGAACAAATTCCTATGCACACTGCACATACCTTATTTTGAAGTAAAAAAACAAACGGGCAAAAACACCCGCATGTGGCCCGTGGGCCGTAGTTTGAGGACGCCTGGTGTAGATTAAGTCTGATGTTTCTTTGTTGATTTTCTTTCTGTGCTCCCCAACCCCAGAGGCTGCAGCCCAGTACTGGTCCATGGCCCGTTAGGAAATGGGCCTAAGCTCCCCACCACCTCCACCTCACCACGACACCCCACACCTCCACCCTTGGCCCATGGAAAAATTGTCTTCCATGAAGCTGGTCCCTGGTGCCAAAATTGTTGGGGACACACTGGTCTAGATGATCTATCCAATGCTGAGAGTGGGGTATTAAAGTCCCCAGCTATTATTGTATTGAAGTTTATTGCTCTCTTCAGCTCTAATAATATTTGCTTTACATATCTATATATATAATTGTTATATCCTCTTGTTGAATTGATCACTTTATCATTATATAATGACTTTCTTTGTCTCTTTTGATGTTTTTTTTTTTTGCCTTAAAGTCTATTTTGTCTAATATAAGTATAGCTACATCTGCATACTTTTGTTTTAGATCTGCATAAAATATTATTTTTCCATCCCTTCCCTTTCAGTTTATATGTGTCATGAAGTGAGTCGCTTATAGGCAGCAAATAGTTGTGTCTTTCTTTTTTTCCCATTCAGCCAGTGTGTATTTTTAATTGGGGAATTCAAACTTTTTACATTTAAGGTTGTTATTGATAGGTGAGAACTTACTCATGTTATTTTGTTAATTGTTTTCTAATTGTTTTGGATATGCTTTGCTCCTTTTTTCCTCTTTTATTGTTTACTTTTACTAGAAGAAAACATAGAGGAAATGTATCAGGATGTTGGTCTAGGCAAAGACTTTATGGCTAAGACTTCAAAAACACAGGCAACAAAAACAGACAAATAGGCCTATATTAAACTGAAATGCTTCTCCACAGCAAAGAAAGCAATCAAGAGTGAAGAGAAAACTTGCAGAATGGGAGAAAATATTTGCAAACTATTCATCCAACAAGGGATTAATATCCAGAATTCACAAAGAACTCAAAAACTCAAAAGCATAAAAAACAGATAATCCAATTAAAAAGTGGGCAAAGGAACTGAATAAACATTCTTAAAAGAAGACATACAAATGGTCAAAAAACACATGAAAAAATACTCAACATCACTAATCATCAAGGAAATGCAAATCAAAACCACAATGAGATATTCTCTCTCCTTACAGTTAGAATGGCTATTATCAAAAAGATAAAAAACAACAAATGCTGGTGAAGATGTGAAGATAAGGGAACTCTTAAACACTGTTGGTGGTAATGCAAATTAGCATAGCCATTATGGAAAACAGTATGGAAGTTTCACAAAAAGACTAAAAATATAACTACCCCTGTGATCCTTCAATTGCACTACTGGGTATTTCTCCAAAGGAGAGGAAATCAGTGTATCAAAGGGATACCTGCACTTTCATGTTTACTGCAGCACTATTCACGATAGCTAAGATATCCAATCAATTTAAATGCCTATCAATAGATGAATAGATTAAAAATGTATATGTACACAATGGAATCCCATTTAGCTATAAAAAAGAATGAAATCCTGTCATCTGAGGCAACATGAGTAAGCCTGGAGGACATCATATTAAGCAAAATAAGTTAGGCATAGAAAGATAAATACTGCATGTTCTCATTCATATGTCAGAGCTATAAAAATTTTGAGCATGGGGAAAGGTTGGCTAACAGATACAAAATTATAGCTAGCTAGGAGGAATGAGTTCTGGTGTTCTGCAGCACTGCAGGGTGAATATGGTTAACTATGATTTATTATATATTTTCAAAGAGGTAAAAGAGAGAATTTTGAATATTCACGACACAAAGAAAGGATACATGTTCAAGGTGATGGATATGCTAATTACCCTGATTTGATTATACATTGTATAGATGTATTAAAATATCACTCTGTATCCCATAAGTATGTACAATTATTATGTGTCAATTAAAAATAAAAGGTGGAGGGCAGAGGGTAGGTGTCCTCCTGGACACTGAGGTTACCTGTTATGAAGTACAGGTGACCACAATAGGCACATTGTAACTATAGTGAGAAAATATCTTAATGGTAACTATTTTTAGGTGAAAATCATCTTCAGCAAGTATTTTTCATTTTGTCATTGGATTCTATCCAGTGCCGGTCATCAATATATCTATTATCCACTAACTCATGCAGTGGGCTAGTTTGGTTGGTTCTGTGACTGGCTCGGAGGCTGGGGACTCACAGAGGTGGCTGTACTTCACAAGCAAAATCTAGGAGGAAAATGCCTTTGTTCTGACACTACTGATTCTATTCTTAACCACTACCCCCATATTGCAGTCAGCATTCTTGTATTCATACTAGTTTATTGTCACCAGTTTTCCATTTTACTAAATTTTAGAGGAGGCATTTCATACATAATATTAAATTTTACAAAACTCTGTTTTATGTGATATTATTTCCATTTTCTTGAAAATCATTTTTGTGATGGCTTTACTATTTTATCTTCTCAGAAATAAAGTGAAAAAAAGAAAAAAGTGAACAATAATGCTTTATTTTTATGTAGCATCTGGAACATGGAAGATATCCAGTTAAGTATTAAGAAAAAGCATATTTATTAATCCTTAGGCAAATTGAATTTTGCAAGTGAGAATATTACCAGCATATTTCAGGTAAAAAAAAAATGCCATTACTAATAGAAATGTGGAACAAGTCCCCCTGGATTTTCCACACTGGTTTTCTCTGTTAATGAGACTCATTGCATTTGCCTAATGCTCTGCTTCCTTTGGCTGAACAGAAAAAAGAAATTTTTATACCTCCTCATTGAGAGATTTATTATGCATACATTATATACGGATAGAGAACAGCCAGTTCTCTCTTTTTTAAAAAATTGTATTAACATCCCAGCTTTTCAGGATTGAGTGTGTAATATAGTGCAAGGCACATATTGAACTTAATTCTTCCCTGGGCATCAGGGAATAACCATTATCCAAGCATGGAGAGACAAATCCCCTCTGGTGTTCTCTTGTTGGTGCTCAGCCCAGTTTCATCTCCAGAGGGAGATGTGCTAACAACGTCCAACACTTTTCTCCGTGTCTGAGGACTGTGCAGAAATGTGACAGCAATGGGGCCCCAGGGACCATTTTGAATACACAGGGACATACATAGTTCCCAGCTCATTTCACAGAAGAGGGAGAATGTGCTTACTCCCTGAGAACACTGAGTTGTCCTCTACCTCTTTACTCCCTTTTCATTTCCCTGGCCCCACCTTATCCTTTCTGATATTCTGTGCCCAGCACCATCTCCACTGCCTCCTCTCCCCTCCACCTTTACAGGACAGGACAGGACAATGGAGCAGATTACTGAATGCTTTATAGCGATTGCCCGATATAGGCCTATAGCAGTCAGAGTCAACCATCACTCCATAACCACTGCCAATATTTTTGCCCTTCTACTTAAAGCTTTTGCCTCATATGGAGTGGGTGAAATAACATTCAAGGACTTAAATGCATTTAATTATTTCTTTTTGGAAAAACAGGCTAAAAATGTCCTCCCCTCTCCCGTATATGTAATAAGCTATGCCATCTGCAAATGGTATTTACAAGAAGAAAATCTTAATATTTTACAATCCAAATTTTTTTTTCTTCATTATCAAAGTCTCTTTCTTCATTATCAAAGTCTTCTCCCCACAACTCATGGAAGTTATTTTATTCTCTAAAAACAGTGATTTTTTCCCTCTTCTGGACTGGGATGTGTGAATAGAATTCAAGCACTTCCCCAGATGATGAGGAAAAAACTCTGACTCATGGGTCCTTTCCTTATTCTACAAGAGAATAGCTGCGTGGGTATTGGCAGGGATAGCAGTTCCATGCACTACGGATTGTCTGATGATAAGGTGAGAAAACGGTTTAGAACTGCACCCCTCTCTGATTTCTGCCACTGAAAGCCTCTTTGCTGCTACTACTTGGCATTACTTATGCATCTTCACTCAGCCCTCTCTCTGGCTCCTTTATTTCTGTCTAAAGTAGATTTAAGTGGCACCCCTTTGTCTTAAAATAGAACAAAGCCCTTTTCCTCAGGTCTTACTCCT